CAGAAAACCATTTAAAACCGATTTGCTTAACCTTGGATTCAAAAAGAAGCTCGATGTTTAGGTGCCACACGAACTAACGCAAAAAAACATGATAAACCGAATTTCTATCTGTGAATCGCTGCTAAATCGCAGCAAAATCGACCCGTTTCTGAAGCGGATTGTGATTGGCGATGAAAAATGGGTCACTTACGACAACATCGAGCACAGACGGTGGCCAAGATCGGATTGATGGCCAGCACTCATCCAGAAGAGGCCATCTTTGATCAACAGAGGCCGAATTGTGTTCCATTAGGACAAAGCCAAGCCACACACGCGCCCGAAGCTCCAGTAGCTCGGATGGGAGATCCTAGTGCACCCGGTCCGGACTTGACACCAAGTGATTACCATCTTTTCATGTCCATGGCGAACGCGCTGAATGGTGAGATGTTGGCCTCAGAGGCCTGCGAAACTGAATCTCCGAGTTTTTTGCCAACAGAATAGTAGTCTAAAGGTGAAGTCGGAGAATAAATTGTAAAGAAGCGAACCTCAACTGTAACTTAAATTTTTTATTTCCCATATCGAAATATTGACGTCACATTTGATCTTTCCACTATAAATTCAATTCAATATTTTAGACTATTATTGGCTTTATTATTCTAATTACATTTACAATGCACATTTGCATGCTCACACATGCATACTCACATACACACAAATAGTAAATGAAAGCATTTTTACTATTGCAAAAGCACAGTGTTGGCAACAAATTCATACAAATTGCATAAGCGTCACATCTGTCACCTCGGCCAACAGGTAGACGATAATAAATTTTGCAAATCTGTACAAATTGTACAACAACAGCAAGCAAGCAACAACAGCTACCAACAATAACATATAACATGGTAATATGCACCATAATACCAAGCTGGAGGAAGCAATGCTTTTCTTCACTTTCACCTGCCGTTCACTTCACTCTTCACATCTACCAACTTCCTTCATTCATTCATCGTCAATTCCCACATCAACAATACCGTACAAGCAGAAAAATTGTTATTGTTGCAAAATTTCTGAGAGACGTTGACGGCTACAGGCCAGTGGAGAACAGTGCGGCACAAAAGTGTTTATTATGGATTACCATATTTAATACATACATAAGTGTACGTAAGTATTGTATTGCAAAGCAGAGGAGGAGTGGTTCATTGGTTAGTTAAAATGGGCACATTATGGAATAATATCTCATTTGGTTTCTTACATCCAAATTATTTGCCATTTATAAGAAATTTCTAACAAATAAATAACTCCGAATATATTGTATTACCAATGACTGGCATTCGTGTCTGCCTGGATTCGAAAAAAAAATTAACTTCATTTTTCCAATTGCCATCAACTGTAAGTCCCTCCATTTGTTGGAAAAAATCAAGACGCAAAACCACAAATTGGAGGAGGAGATCGACCGAAAATCGCCACACCGGCTACAAAGCGCTAATTATTACAGACATATCCGACCGAATATTTGCTCATGTACTTTGCTTATTTTTATATAGGCAATTGTTGAGGTTGCGTATACGCACTGTCGTAACGAATGTCTGCACTTTAAGTACAGAATTTTCCAATAGAATATGATGATATTAACAAAATGACATTTTTTGTGATAAACGATCGGATTTTTATTTCAATGTAAAAAGGAAGACACTCCTTTAATAATGGAAAATAATATCGACCAAATGGCCGCCAGAGCTACACTTTCCTTTTTATGAAATTTTCCCCCACCAAATCGCCAAATGTCTGCTCTATGTTTTCAATAGTTTCACGAATGCCATCTCTGAGATCTTGGCTCAACGTTGGACTGTTCGCTTAGACCTTAACTCTCACGTGGCCCCAAAGAAAAAAGTCGTAAAATCTCAAGTTCTCTGTGACGAATTGCGACCAACTCGACGAAAGATGACACGGCGCGGAAACTTTTCGCATTAAATTCGACCGTTTCAATATCAATATATATGTCGATATAGAGGCAGCTGAAAATGTCCTTTGAAGCAGGGCAGCTGTATACAATAAGTACTGTATTCCAGGTCACATTATAGGTAACGAAATAGCTGATGAGACTGGCAAATGTGTCATCCGCCTTACTAGCGAATCAGTACGAGAAATAAAATAGTCGCTAAAAATTATCTGTAATGAAATTTTCGCTAGAGCTGAGTACCGGATCACGGTGAGATGAAACGCATTAGCGCAACAGCACCAGGATCATTTTCAATAAACAGCAAAAAAAGTCTAACTTACACTGTCACATAAGAACTGCAGAACAGTTTTTCTAATGACGAACCAAAATCGCTGGTATCTCATGCAACACAAAAGCGTCATTTAGGAAGTCCAAGGAGTTGGTCATGAGTGAAACGTTTGAACACCTCCTCTTTTTCTTAGATATCTCGGAGCTTCGCAGTTCAAAAAACTAAAGAAGACTTCAAAATTATATTTAATGTTGTTTTAAACTTCGTGAAAAGTTTGGTCTTATACGATGAGCTCAATTAAATGGACCTTCATCTAGCATTGCAAAGGACCAAAAGGTTATATGTAAGGTGCTTTAGCCGCCCCATGTTACCTAAAATAACTCAACGGTGACCTCCCGTAAGTTAATCAATATTCCCCTAAGCTTTGATAGAATTTTAATCGACAAAACAATCCTACAATATTAGCTCTTGCTTAATCAGATCATCGACATATAAACCAACTAGTCAAGGCATTTAAAATATTTAAACAAAATCTTACCCCAATTCAAATGCATACCTCGTTTATTTGCTGATTTCAGCCAACAAATTGTTTGAAGCTGCAACAATTTGCTTAATTTATTTACTTTTACATGTACGTATGTTGGTATTGTATGTAGTGTATACAAAAAGCAAACGAACAATAACGACATAATGCCGGCAAAACAAAAGTAAAGCCAAAAGAAAAAAAACAACCAAAAATAAGTAAACAAATAAGCAAATTATCTAAATTACAAATACAACGTGAATATCCAAACAAGCACCCACCCGCAGACCATGGAAACACGAGCTTTCTTTCTTTCACCAAAGAGCACACTTTTCCTGCAAATACTGGTACGTTTTTTCCCACTATTTATAAACAAACCGTACGCAATAACAACAAGAAACATACAAACATTTGTAAAAGCGTGAAGGCACATACACACAGAGAGAGAAAGGGATAGAGAGAGAGAGAGATTTTCGGAAACAGCTATTCGACAGTGGGCCGAGATTAGCGCTATACTCATAATAATTGAATTGAAACATATATGATGAAACATACTGATTCGTTGCGTAGCTTTCTACTGCGAAAAAATGTGCAAAATTAGCAAATCAAAGTCAGAGAAATGTCTTATAACAAAACGAGTGTGTGTTTTTGAAGATCTCAATATTTTTAAGTTCTTTCAGAGGTTTTTTCTCCTTATCGATATGTAAAAATAAGTCCTTTTTCTGTTATTTTGGCTTTAGTGCTTGGTATCTAGCGTTCTATAAGCGCGCTTTGATTACGACAGCTGGCGTTAGAAAGATGATATTTTTTACTAGAAAAAGAGAGCGCAAGAAGTGTTGATCACTGGACACAGCTGTATTTGGACTTGACATGCGATGGACACCAGCAAAGAGAAAATACGCTATATTCTACAATTTTTCTTCGATGAAGGGGTAAAGGCATGTCAGGCAGGTGGAAATGTAAATAATATTTGCGAGCTTGATATTGTAAGTCAATCAGGCACAATTTTGGCTTTGAAGATTTCATTTCGGTAATTATAAAAGATGTTCCCCAGTGTGGAAGGCCAATTGTCGAGAACGTCGGTAATATAATAGAAATTGTCGAGTCTGGCAATCATGCGAGCGCTGCTTCGACTGTTCGAGAGCTAAATGAAATAGGCTGGACACACAAAGAAGCTCGATATATGGTTGTCACATGAGTCAACGAGATAAAATCTCATGGATCGAATTTCCATCCATTTTCGCTTGGTAATTGGGGATGAAAAATAAATCACTTCAAGCAAAATCAAATAAAAATGGTCGTCGTAGAGAGACGGGGAGCTGATACCAATGGTCTACAAACCAGGATTGACTGCTAGAAAGGTTTTGTCGAGTTTTTGGTGAGATTGGCAAGTATCATTCACTATGGGCTACTCCCTTGCGACCAAACTCCTATTTGGGACCTGAGCTCTGAGCTTTGGCTAGCAGTCGAGGAATAGTGTTTCGTTAGGACAACGTCAAACACCGACAGGGACTCGCCAGCAGCTCAGAAAGCCTGGTTATGGATGCATAAGAATCCATCTTATAGTCCGCAACAAGTAATTACAATGTTTTCCTGTCTATGGTGAATGATTTGACTGAGGAAGAATTGGCCTCAATGCAAGTCCGTGAAAATCGATTGTCCCAATTTTATATCAATTGAGATAAGGGTTTCCACGAGAGAGGCATAATGAAGTTACCTTCGATATCAAAGCAAAAAAGTTATCGAGCAAACGGTATGAAGCTATTGCTGTTTCTGAATAAGCCATAAAAACTTAACTTCGTCAACTGTGAAGAGATTAATTGAAAACTCCAGGGAGCAGGATCGCACTGTTAACCACCCAGCTAGAGCGGCCAGCTACTAACATACTGTTGATGAGCGCTCAGCATCTGATTCAATATGATATAATGTCTAATCTTTTAACCAGGTTAAAATAAGGTATGTTATCTATGATATTATTAAAATTTTATTTAGTTATTGTCTATGCTGTTCACCAGACAAAACACCCACTGTGCACACTAGTCAATGCCGCCGCCGCCGCCGCCGCCGCCGCCGCCGCCAAACACAGCCACCACAGCAACAATCGAAATCGCAGCAAAGCCAAAAATCACCACAGTTTTCTTCTCCACTGCTTGCCAGCGTCTGCTGCCAGCTCCATTCGCACACGCACTTCGTTGGGCTTTCACTGCACAGCTCGTGTGAGCGAGCGCTCGTTGGCTGCTCGTTGGTTCATGGTGGCTGTTGTCGGTAGTCTCCGTAGTCCAAACGTCATCGTCGTGTTGGCAATGCAAAACATTTTCGGCTAGTCACTGCGTTGCTCTTGTAAAATGTATACAACATTTTTTGGCCAGCCAAATTGAAGTCGAGCAAAATTAGAGATAATTTGCAAACGGGTTTTTTTTTTTGTATAAATTTACTGTGAGATAAATAATTGATTGGAATAAATTCAATTTGTGCAAAACTCTAATTGGCTTCAGCAGTGTTTGGTGCGAGTATAAAAATGTAAATAAATTAATTCTTTTGCTATTTAAACAAATCTCGATGTGAGAAAGTGCATTTAGATTTTGTTATTTTAAAAGTGGCAAGAAAAGGAGTAGAATATAGAAATGTAAAGCAATATTCATTTGTGCAAGTGTGTGTGTGTGAGCGTGTGTGTGTTGGTGTGCGGGTGTGTTGGTGTACGAGGCGAAGCGATGCAAAGTGACGTGAGGTGTGAATGTGATGCGCGATGTTAACGAAGGACGAAAGATGAAAGATGAAGAATGAAAGGAGCTGTGGGATTCGCACGCATTGCGAAATGAGCAGCTGTGCACGAAGTGAAGCAATCGCATATGAAAATGCAAAATTTGACAGATACACACGAATATACATACCTCCATGCATATTAATATGACATACATACTCGTATGTATGTATGTATGTATGTGTTCATGTTAAATATTTCATGTTTAAAGCAACAGCGAGCACAAGCCAACAAAAACGAATGTACGAAAAGTATTAAAGAGAAAGCGCAATGAGAATAATGAAGCAGTGCAAAATCAGCAATGCAATTTTTTTTTTTTTGTTGCTTGCGGCTGCAATCAGAGAAAGTGTTTTTCTTGCTGAAAAGATTTTACAAGATTATCTAATTTTCTACTAATTTCTACGAGAGTTTTTTGTGCTGAAAAATGAAATGTGTAAAAAATGTGCAAAAAAGATTTTATTAAATTAATATAAATAATGTAAAAATGTGCATACACATCTGCACGCGTATGTATGTGTTTGGGTGAAACAAAATAACTACTTAATAATTAAATGTTTCGTAATTATTTAGCAGCAAGAACTTTTTAATGAAAAATTTGTGAGTTCGCAGCGGGTGTTATTTGAGTAAAAAGTTGCAAAAAATTACACAAAAAAATAACAAAAAAAATTTAAAGCTTAGAAGTATAGCAGATTCAAAAAGTTCATCATCCCAATAGATGGTTTGTCGTCAAAACCGGCACCGAATGTGCTCCAGCCTCCTTGATGATTTGTTTTTTCATCTGCTTAATTTAAGCCCAACATTAAGTTTTACAATCTTAATAAGTAATAAATTGCTGCTTTAGTCCATTAATAGCAGTGGGCGTCAAGTATAAAGTTACTCTTCGAAATACTGGCAAGGGATCTGCCACCGAAGGCGAGTTCGACTTGCTGGGCTGGATAGAACTTGTTGACGAAAATTAAATTTTTTCTTGGAATTTTTCAATAAGCAGGCAGTCTTGTACAGGGATATCCATTTTGCGGTTTTGAAAATAAACAAATTCATCCGAGTGGCTGGGATAACTGAGTGGTTAGCATTGCGTACTGCCATTCAAAAGGTCAAAAGTCAAATCTTGGTGCGACCAACATCCAAAAGTTCTAGAGAATATCACCCTCTCCGAGTGTATTTTGGACAGAGAAATAAAAAAGCTTCTCATAAAAAACCAGCTGCAGTTCGGAGGCAGCTTAGTTGGAAAACATTAAGAACCAAAACCAGAGGCGCTCGCCGGTTACAAAGCGCCAATTTTGTCTTAATTTTTTTTATAAATTCGAGACTTTGGCTTATATATGTGAAACACTACATCATTCAATTGGCTGTCTCGCAAATTTACACAAACTTCGATCCATTTGACCTAATTTTCGACCAATTTCCAGCACATACTGGGAGTTGTCTCTGCCTAAACTTGAGGTATGTTGGTTTTTAAGTGGCCAAGCGTTAAAGGTTTAGCCACATAAACTTGGTATTTCGCGTAGTCCCACAAAAAAAGGAGTCCAAAGGTGTCAAAGCGCACGATCTCGTTGGCTAATTGGCATCACAAAGACAAGAGATTACATTTGCGAGAAATATTAAATAGTTACAGTTAGTCTTATGGAATTGCAGCATGCATGGAGTTTCCTATAAAGGTCTGCCGGGAGAAGATTAAGCAGAGTTTTAAAAATTTTCGTAAAAGCTGAGGACAGTGTGCCTGTAATGACCTTAGGGCCCGACCGCTGAACTTTGCCCGGCTTACTTCTGTAAGTAGGCATGTACAGTAGAGAAAATGTGGTCTCAGCACCCATTTCTCACCGATTACCGCCACACAAGCGTAGAGTTCGGTCGTAGCTTTCTTACACCTTTCTATCGAGTTCCGGTTCTAGAGGAATTTGCTATTTAGGATCATACCAAAGTATTTAAGCTCAGTAGAACGAGCAATCTCGGTGCCTTTGTGTGAAGAGAGTTTGAAGACTTGTACTTTATGGTCAAGAGTACCAGTTGGGTATTTGAAGGGTTAACATCCAGTCTGCACTCACTGCACCATCTACTCACACTCTTATAAAAGATTGTATCTTCTCTATGCAGCTCTGCAGCTCTTATTATTCTCTCCAGCATCAAGTTAAAGAAGCCACACGATAAGGAGTCGTCTTGTCTTAAACCTCGATTGGTATCGAACTGCTCGGAGAGGTCCTTTCCGATCCTGACGGAGCTTTTGGTGTTGCTCAAGGTCAGTTTACATACACAAATAATTAAAAAAAATTGCCTTGAAATCTTACTCTGGTTCGACTCGCAATAGTTGCATGTTTTTTGAGAAATTTGCATAAAATGTTTTATAATTTAATTTATTTTCGCACCACAACTTTCTGCGAACTTTTCCGTAAATAACTCAACACATACGAGTATATATGACGAGTATATAATGAAATAAATAATAAGCCTACGCAGATATATGTTTGTGCGTTTATAATAAGCGCTTATACATTTTTACTTTGACATACGAGTACAAACTTTAGCATATCCCTTTAACGGTTTACTTAGTTGTTTTGCTTGTAACTAAGCTAGTGAATATACCGTTAAGCTACCACCTTTGCATTCGCTACAACAATATTGACTAAACAAATATTTCACTGCCACTAGACTCGCCCAAATGCTATTGTTTCTAAGCATACGCGCATATTACTACATGCATACATACATACGCACCTACGTATGTACATACATGTGTAGATATGTATGTGGAAGTAGCAAATTTGTACATAAATTTTTTAGCTATTTGTTTTGTAATGAAAATGTAAACAGTTTTGAAAATAAACCGTTGTCTAGTAGTTCCGTGGAATCTGGATTACCGGAAATAATTCCAGCTTAACTGTTTTGTACAAGCGCCATATTACATACACGTATATTTACATGTATTTAATATAAGTGGGAAAAGTGTGCTTCTAGTAAGTAAAATATTTTGTTGGCACAGTCAGTTGTTGATGCTCACCTTCTTATTGTTCTTCTACTCCAGGACTGACGTCACAGGTGAATGGCGAGTAAGTGAAATTCATACTTTGAAATATATTTCCATAGACGACTGTTGATAAGAACAATACAACTGATTTACTCGTATAATATTTAAGAAAAGAATGGCATATTCAATAAGACAATAAAAAAATAATCAACATAAATTAAAACAAAAACATAAGGCATCTGAATAAACTCAGTTTTGCACATTTCCTTTTGTTATACTATAAATTATTAATTTGGGAACGGTATCTACAACCCCTTGTTGTTATAAAGGTTTTCCTTACCCCACGACATACTTTCAAGCAATTTTTCTTTGAATTCGCTTGGAATATTTTCCCATTCCGCCCTCATGCACTTGCAAAGGTCAACGATATTGGTGGGTGCCCGATTGTTATAGCAAATTTTCAATAGAAATTAGGTCTCGACTTTGCGCAAGCCATTTCATGACCACAAATTTCGATCCAAATATCGAATTTTACATAATTTTCACCATCTTACTGCAAAATTACTTCATCCTTGGTGGTCCACAAAATCGAACAAATTTCTTTGAAGCATTTAAGGGCAGTCTTCCTTCCTCCAATTAATTATTACAATTGGTCCCAAATGAAACCAAGTAAAGCAACCACAAAGCTACCACCGCCCTCTTTGACTGTTTGTTGCACATGATTTTTTTGAATCGGTTCATGAGGTCTACTACAGACGTATAATTTGCCATCTGATTGGAGGCATTAGGGTGGGGATCTTCTTCTGCTTTCAGCAATAGATATACAGCAGTATATGAGCTATGCCCAAGTTGTATTAATCTCTTCTTTCCATCTTTTGTGATATTCGCCGTTGTTTTTATTTTGTTGCTAAAACTTTTTTTTTATTTTAATTCTGCCTACTCAGTCTAAGTAGCAAGTAGTGTTGGCAAGAGGGATTCTGCTTTGACATTTTTATTGTTGTTAATCCTGACTCAGAGACGTCTGAGCGCGAGTGCGTAATGTTTTTCTCCCCCGCTCTGAGAATTGGAGCGAGAGTAAGCTAGCAATTCAACAAGCTGTCTGCAGTGATACCAGCTTCTTCTTACGGATGCTCTATGCTTCTTCTAAATCTGCAACACAATCTATTTGGTCCGGTAACAGTCATGTAGACTGACGAATTATTTTATGCCGTAATCTCACAAACATATTTCCTTACACACAAACTTGAACTATCTCAGCTCATATGTAACTCAATCTTTCATCATAAACTAATTTGATTTCTTGCAGTGTAACTCAAGGTCTACTTTGGCTTGCCTCCGAGTGGATGGTTTCTGGCAACCCAGAGGTTACTTGGCATAATACTTCAGTCACAAATAAATCGTTATTGCAAATATTTTTTATCAAACTACTTTCACTTTTCAATCTGAGATCCTTCGAGATTGGTATTTTACCTAGAAAATATTCCCTTGAAAAACATTTATCTACATATTTATTATACTTACTATTAGTAATATTATATTACAATTTAGTAATATTAATTATTCATCAAATTAAATCTATAAATGCTTAAAATCACGCTAAAGCAATAAACGCCAAATCCCCCAGCCAACGGCTTAAAATAAAAATAAAATTTATCAATTCATCTCTATTGAATTTCACGAAGTTCCTTACAAAGCCTTAGTTACTATTCACAGTTTAACGAATTCACAAAAAATGTGCAAAAAATTGTGTGTATTAAATGAAAAATAATGAGCCGTCACTAGCACCGGACCGTACGC